TTTATTCTCCTTCGGCAACCAGATCTTGTATCCTTTCGTTTGTTCCGAATACCCTATGAAAATTCCTTCCTTACATCTTGCGTCTAGCTTCCCCTTGGCCTGATCTTGGTTTAGACAGAAGACCTTGCAACCAAAATCTCTGAGATGCGAAACGTCGGGAGTCTTTCCAGTCCACTTTTCGTATGGTGTTAACCCGTTCAGACTTTTGGATGGACATCTGTTCCGCAAATAGTTGGCCGTGTTGATGGCTTCAGCCCAAAAGATCGGAGGTAAGCCGGACTGCATGATTAGACAACGTGCTGTATCCAAGAGAGTGCGGTTTTCCTCTCCGCTATACCGTTCTGTTCCGGAGTGTATGGGCAAGTCAAGCGACGTGAAATTCCGTGCTTTTTCAGGAGATCCTCCATTTCCTTACATGTGTACTCCGTCCCGTTGTCAGATTGGATGCACTTTATCTTTTTGTTCTTTTGGTTTTCGACCAGTGTAATATATTCCTGAGTCTTTCGCACAACTTCATTTTTATGTTTCATGAAGAATACCGTGCAATACCTAGAATAATCATCTATGAATTCGACAAAATATTTGTACTTCGAGTGAGATTCTACTCGCATGGGACCGCAAACATCAGTATGTACGATTTCTAGCATTTCCGATTCCCTGTCGGACTTCTTCGGGAATGGTGAACGCGTCATTTTTCCGCGTATGCAAATTTCGCAATTAAGTTCCCCATTATTAGGCATATTTTCAATATTTATTCCACCTAATCTTCCTTTCTTCAATGAAGAATTCAAATCCTGAAAGTTCAAATGTCCTAATCTACGATGCCATAGTTTGACATTTTTAGAATTCATGGTCGAAATGAAAGCTGATTTATTCTGCGCTTCGCCTTCTCTCGCGTAGTATAAATCGCCACTACGATCGGCTACAACTTTTATATCACCATTACTATCATAGATCAAAGCATTTTCTTTCTTGAATAAAACTTCAAATCCTTTATCGGTAATCTTTGCAACAGAAAGTAAGTTTACTCTTAGGTCGGGAACATGAAAAGCTTTGTGGAGTGAGATGTTTTTCGTGTCGCCAAAAACGTCAGCAACAAACGTAGCTGTTCCGGAACCTTTAATGTCCGTAAATTCACTATTTGCTAAATTCAAATGATCATGTCTACGTTCAAGTCAGAAAAACAACTAATGTCTTTACATAAGTGAGACGTTGCGCCACTGTCTAGACACCATTTCAGTCTTTTGTGATTCTGTTCAACATGATAACATTCCGCGGTAACGAGTCCCACGTGTTCGGAACAGTTCGCTTCACTTTTGTAAGAATTGGCAAACACATATGCTATTCCGACAATAACATATAGCTTCGGAATAATCAAGTGGACAGACTCTGACTTAGAGCAGCTAAACAGAAACATAAGAGTCTTATTTACAAATCATAGAGCAAGACATCCCAAGAGTTCGATCGAAAGATTCTACTTGCCAAGATCCAAAGGGGGACGAGGCGTGATTGACCTTAAAGCAGCTAACCTGCGGAATATAGAAAACCTCAGGAGATTCTTTTATAGAAAGGGCGAAACATCTGCATATCACAGAAATATAGCTTCAGCTGACTACAAGTTCACACCACTGAACCTGTCGGATGAACATTATGAACCTCTAACCCATGTGACCACCGACGAACAATGGTATCATCAATGGAAGTCCAAACAGCTTCATGGAAGACATCCAGCCATGCTCAGCTCAGATCACATTGATGCAGAAGCGTCACACGGATGGCTGAAGAGTGGGGAGCTATTTTCGGAAACTGAAGGTTTCATGATTGGCATTCAAGATCAGGTGATACCAACCTTAAACTATAGAAAATACATCATGAAAGAAGAAGGCATTGAAGATAGATGTCGTATATGCCATAACAAGTCGGAAACAATAGAGCATATCCTGACGAGCTGCACTCCCCTAGCTTCCACTGAGTATCTGAAGCGCCACGACAACGTGGCTAAAATAGTTCACCAAGAAATTTGTTATGCTGCGAACATACTAACTGACCGCACCCCATATTACAAGTACCAGCCGACTCCAGTTATAGAAACTAACAGCCATAAAATATACTGGAATAGAACAATTCAAACAGATCACACCATGGAATACAACAAACCAGATATCGTAATTCAAGATAAAATGAAGCAAGTTACCTGCATAATTGACATTAGTGTGCCTGCCCCACATAACATAGCTGAGAAGCAGACAGAAAAGGTTCGCAAGTACTTACCACTAGCTGCAGAAGTAAAAACATTGTGGAATCAAGAAAAAGTTGAAGTCATCCCAATAGTGATCGGAGCCACAGGAGAAATACCTAAGAGTCTACATAAATATATTGAGAAACTAAATCTGCCGCAGAAACTATACCTCTCACTTCAGAAAGCTGCTATCTTAGGTAGTTGTCATATAGCACGCAAGGTCCTGAATGTAGCCACATAGACAAAGAGAAACCAATAGTCACACTCAGACGCTTGCAGTATAATGCCGCGTTTGAGGATACCACCTGCAGTAGCAGAGAATAGCTAACAGAAAACGGAATAATATAATAATAATAATATAATAATAATAATAATAATAATAATAATAATAATAATAATAATAATAATAATAATAATAATAATATAATAATAATAATAATAATAATAATAATAATAATAATAATAATATAATAAGAATAATAATAATAATAATAATAATAATAATAATAATAATAATAATAATAATAAATAATAATAATATAATAATAATAATAATAATATAATAATAATAAAATAATAAAATAATAATAATAATAATAATAATAAATAAAATAATAATAATATAATAATAATAATAATAATAATAATAATATAATAATAATAATAATAATAATAATACCCCGCAGATTAAAATCGAATCTGGAATATTCCAAGGAGATTCACTATCACCTCTCCTGTTCTGCATGATGATGTACCCCCTGTCCAGAATGCTAAATCAAAAGCCAAAATTGGGATATAAACTACTCAAAGATGAGCAGCCAACAACACATCTTCTGTACATGGATGATTTAAAGCTATACGCGAGTTCGGACACAGCGCTTGAAGAGCAAATTAAGATAGTTCACGACTTCAGTAGCACAATTCATATGAACTTCGGATTAGATAAGTGCGCCAAAGCGACAATAAAGAACGGAAAAGTGGAAAAAACGGAAAACATAACAGTCCAGGCAAATATTACCATCAAAAACCTAGATGCTGGAGAAAGCTATAAATATCTTGGAGTTTATGAAAACCCAGAATTGTGTAATGATGAAATGAAAGAGACCATCAGTAAAGAATATCTAAGAAGGCTTAGGATGGTACTACGTTCAGACTTAACAGCACGAAATAAACTGCTAGCCATCAACAGTATAGCTGTTCCAATAGTAGAATACAGTTTTGGAATCATAGATTGGAGTCAGAAGGAAATTGCAGACCTAGATCGTAAAACAAGGAAGATGCTTACTATTCATGGACAGCTGCATCCTAGAGCTGATGTAGACAGGCTATATGTGAGTCGTAAAGAAGGAGGTAGAGGACTCAGGCAATTAGAGATGACTTATGATAATACAGTTGTATCCATAGCCAATTATTTAAGAAGCCGTAGAAATGATAAGTTAGTTAGACAAATTTGGAGATGTGAAAGGCACCCTCGAGTTGGAAAGTCAGTAGTGAAGTCAGCGATAAAAATTGTAAAGACACATTTACCGGAAATAGAAAATCAAGCGGTCGAGGATGAAGAAGAATTACTATCTACAGATATTAAGGCCATGACAAGGAAGACCTTGAAGGATAAATGGATACGAAAGCAGCTTCATGGTCAACGTGAAGAGAATTAAGAGGCCAGGGATTAATGAATGCCAAACGTTTGCGTGGCTCACGAGAGGGAAGGTAAAAGGTGAAACAGAGGCCCTGATAACGGCCGCCCAAGACCAGGCCCTACGTACAAGACATTATGAGAAACATATCCTCAAAATAACAGCAAATGATAGATGTCGAATGTGCAAACAATACTCAGAAAAATAGATCATCTTATATCCGGCTGTCCTCAACTGGCGAAGCACGAGTACTTGGTCCGACATAATAAATATGCATATACTTGCATCATGCCATCTGTATAAGCTTTGGGATCGCAGTGGAAGAAAAATGGTATAATCACAATCCCACTCCAGTAGTTAGTAAAGATGAGATTACCATAATATATGACTTACCAGTGCAAACAGATCGTGAGATATCCGCGAACCGTCCAGACATAATCGTCAAAACCAACGTGACAAAACCTGCCTGCTAATAGATGTTTCAGTCCCCAACGATGAAAACGTTGTAAACAAAGAAGCTGAAAAGAAATTGAAATACAAAGATCTCTCAATTGAAATCCAAAGAATGTGGAATCTGAGGACGAAGATAGTTCCCGTAATTTTAGGTGCATTAGGGACGATCCCAGACAATCTACATGAAAACCTAAATCTCATACCAGGAAGGCACAGGACAGCAGACGTGCAGGAAATTGCTTTGTATGGTACAGCAACCATATTACGTAAGACACTATAAGGTAATGGACTTCGTTAGGATGTGGGTAACATCTTCGAAGTACCATAATGAAAATGACCAACCAAAACCGGCCCACATGGACAGAACCAGTTGAATAGATAGGGCTGTGGAAAATAAACAAATAATAATAATAATAATAATATAATAATAATAATAATAATAATAATAATATAATAATAATAATAATAAAATAAAATAAAATAATAATAGAATAATAATAATAATAATAATAATATAAAATAATAATATAATAATAATAATATAATAATATAATATAATAATATAATAATAATAAATAATAAAATAATAATAATATAATAATAATAATATAATAATAATATAATAATAATAATAATAATAAAAATAATAATAATAATAATAATATAATAATAATATAATATATTAATAATAATTGTTGAGGATAGGTAAGCAGAGCAATTCAACTCGCAGTGGTCTTCGGTTCAGAACAGTTTATTGAGTACCATGTACATGGATGGTAGATAGGCTACAGGTGTAGATCAGGCTTCCGCGTTCCGCGATCCGCGCGCGTGTGCTGGCGTGTTGTACTTCGACTGCTTCCCACGACTGACTCTTCACGACTGACTTCATTCTGTGGTGTGGCGCGCGGGGACAGGACGGCGGTTACAAGCTTCTAGGTTAGGCAACCTGTCTGGTCGTCTCGCCAGTAGCGGCGCGGGGGTGACGCTAGTACGCGTTCCAACACTTCCCCTCGAGACGTAGCAGACACATACAGGCTCTGGTCCGTCGTCTGTAATCCCAAAAGTTCCATGCACTTCCGATGTTTTGTCCTCGACAACCCCTTCGTCAATACGTCTGCGGCCATTTCAGAAGATGGTGTATGCTTCAACTTAAACTTCTTCTGTTCCAAGGCCCTCCCGCACAAAATGGTAACGTAGGTCGATGTGCTTACTTCTGGAATGATATCTTGGGTTCTCGGCCAATTTTATAGCACTCATATTGGTCGCTATACAGGGTTACGTTAGCGAGTCTTTCGAACCCAAGTTCGGTCATGAACTTGCCAAGTAGATTGCTTCCTTGGCAGCTTCGGTGGTACCCATATATTCCGCCTCGGTGGTAGACAATGCCACTGTGGCTTGCTTCTTCGATTCCCACGATACGGGTCCGCCCTGATAGGATGAATGAGAATCCGGTATACGAATGCCTATCGTCAGGGCAGTTTGCCCATCAGCATCAACGAATCCTCTCAGATTCATGTCTTCTCGTTGGTATACTATCGAGTGATCGATGGTGCCCTTCAGATACCTAAGTACTACTCGCTTTGCGGCTGTCCAGTGTTCCTTAGTGTAACAGTTGTTGAACTGTCCTAAGTAGCTTACGGCAAAGCTAATATCGGGTCTCGTTCCCAACGATAGATAGGTTAGCGCACCTATAAGCTCCCTATAAGGTAACTTCAGCTCTTCACTAGATGGGCTCTCCGTCGGTTTCCTTAACTTCGTTCCGGGATCAAGTGGAGTGCTTACAGTGTTCGCATCCGCCATGTTGAATCGATCTAGTATTTCCAAGATATATGCTCTCTGGCTTAGACTTATCTTGTTTTCCTTGAGTGAAAATTCCATCCCTAGCAATGATTAACTGATCCCAGATCTTTCATTTCAAATCTTTCAGATAATTTGGCTTTTAGGGACGATATTGCCTTTTTGTCACGTGATGCGATAATCAGATCGTCTACATAAGTGACAATTATCATGATGTCTTCCCCTGTTTTACTAGTGAATACACATGGGTCGGACTTAGTTGGATTTGCCACCGCATTCACTAAGTGTCTGGCTTAGTTTCTGATACAGCTCCGACCGGATTGCTTCAGGCCGTATAGTGACTTTCCTAGAGTAGACATACTTATACACCTTTCCCAGTGTGTTCAAGGATCTCGAGCCTTCTTTCTGTAGCCTCGTTGTATTTGGAGTTATCACAAATAATCTTCAATGATTCATCCAATATTCGGGGGTTTCCATGTAAATCGTCTCATCTAGACTTCCATTTAAGTATGCGCAGGTAACATCCAGTTGCTGCATGTCCATATTTAAATGTGCTGCTAGGGCAGATACAAGTCTTATGGAGCTAAGCCTTGCTACAGGGGCAAAAGTCTCGTTGAAATGTTTTCCCGGGCTTTTGGCTAAATCCCCCGGCGACTAGTCTTGCCTTCCTCCTTTCGATAGTTCATCAGGCTTGTACTTTTTTTCTCAGGACAATACGGCTTCCAACGATGTGCTGGTTACATGGTCGGTCGATTAATTCCCAAGTACCATTTTTCAAGATAGATGCCACTTCGTCTGCCATCGCCTTGTGCCAGTCGTCAGCGTCCTCGCCTCTGACTGCCTGATGCATCGGGAACCGGACAGTAATACCTCTTCAGAAGAGAGTGCTGAACCTCTCGGGGGTGGTCCTGTACCTATATATCTTTCTAGGTCTTCCCCTCGAACCAGTTCGCCGAATTCTGGTCCCTCCCGCGGGCACGCCTGGGTGGCTCAGAATCGTGATCAACCTCGGGCTCTTCTTGTTCCGTTGTAGGAGATTCATGTCTGGATTTTCGTTCTCGACAACTGGGGATAGCTTGTACCTCGATAGTATGCATCTCAGATTCATTCTCCTTGGATGATCCTTCCAGAATAAAATCTGTCCATTCTTGGCATGTGACTTCTGCGTTTTCCAAGAACTTAACATCCCTCGTGATTACGAATTTATTCTCCTTCGGCAACCAGATCTTGTATCCTTTCGTTTGTTCCGAATACCCTATGAAATTCCTTCCTTACATCTTGCGTCTAGCTTCCCCTTGGCCTGATCTTGGTTTAGACAGAAGACCTTGCAACCAAAATCTCTGAGATGCGAAACGTCGGGAGTCTTTCCAGTCCACTTTTCGTATGGTGTTAACCCGTTCAGACTTTTGGATGGACATCTGTTCCGCAAATAGTTGGCCGTGTTGCTGGCTTCAGCCCAAAAAGATCGGAGGTAAGCCGGACTGCATGATTAGAACAACGTGCTGTATCCAAGAGAGTGCGGTTTTCCTCTCCGCTATACCGTTCTGTTCCGGAGTGTATGGGCAAGTCAAGCGACGTGAAATTCCGTGCTTTTTCAGGAGATCCTCCATTTCCTTACATGTGTACTCCGTTCCGTTGGTCAGATTGGATGCACTTTATCTTTTTTGTTTCTTTTGGTTTTCGGACCAGTGTATATATTCCTGAGTCTTTCGCACAACTTCATTTTTATGTTCATGAAGAATACCGGCAATACCTAGAATAATCATCTATGAATTCGACAAAATATTTGTACTTCGAGTGAGATTCTACTCGCATGGGACCGCAAACATCAGTATGTACGATTTCTAGCATTTCCGATTCCCTGTCGGACTTCTTCGGGAATGGGTGAACGCGTCATTTTTCCGCGTATGCAAATTTCGCAATTAAGTTCCCCATTATTAGGCATATTTTCAATATTTATTCCACCTATCTTCCTTTCTTCAATGAAGAATTCAAATCCTGAAAGTTCAAATGTCTAATCTACGATGCCATAGTTTGACATTTTAGAATTCATGGTCGAAAATGAAAGCGGATTTATTCTGCGCTTCGCCTTCTCTCGCGTAGTATAAATCGCCACTACGATCGCTACAACTTTTATATCACCATTACTATCATAGATCAAAGCATTTTCTTTCTTGAATAAAACTTCAAATCCTTTATCGGTAATCTTTGCAACAGAAAGTAAGTTTACTCTTAGGTCGGGAACATGAAAAGCTTTGTGGAGTGAGATGTTTTTCGTGTCGCCAAAAACGTCAGCAACAAACGTAGCTTTCCGGAACCTTTAATGTCCGTAATTCACTATTTGCTAAATTCAAATGATCATGTCTACGTTCAAAGTCAGAAAAAACAACTAATGTCTTTACATAATTGAGACGTTTGCGCCACTGTCTAGACACCATTTCAGTCTTTTGTGATTCTGTTCAACATGATAGCATCCGCGGTAACGAGTCCCACGTGTTCGGAACAGTTCGCTTCACTTTGTAAGAATTGGCAACAGTCTTACCTTTGTCTGGACATTCAGCGGCCTTGTGGCCTACTTTTCGGCATCTGTGACACTTATACCTGAACGTTCTTCTGCCTTCGAGACGCCCGCTGCCTCGTGCACCTTCCGAGACGCCGCTGCCTCGTAGTACCTTCCGAGACGGCCACTGCCCCGTCCGCCATTTCCTGCGTGACCGTGATTTTTTCCCATAATTCCGCTTCACGAACATGGCGCCTTCCGTTCTCTCGAACGTCGCCTTTTCCGCGCAGTATACTCTTCTATAATTTTTATTCGAAAATTTCCGGGGATGGTAATTCGTCTCTAGACTCAAGTGCACACCTGAAGTTTTCAAAAACTGGCTGGCAGGCTATACAGTAGCATTATCGCTAATAGATCTGCATTGATTTCTACATCCATTCATTTAACTTGTCAACTGCATCGAAAATGAGTTTTAAATGACATCGTAATGTCCTGTCCCTCTTCCATACGTTGCAGTGTAGGCTGTTTGAGCAATGTGGCCTTTCTAGCGGGTCCTTTTGATTGGTAAATACCCTCCAAACTTTTGCCACAGTTCCTTGGATGTATTACAGTTTTTTACCTGTTTGATTTCTGAGGGGCTTATTGACAAAATTAATGTCCGACATCGCCTTGCTGTCACCTTGAGTCCATGCTTCTACAGCTCTCGTGGATGCTTCGTCCCCATCATCTAGCGTGGCTGCTTTATCTCGCCAGATACATAACTCCAGTGATCGTTTCTTTCTACCAGCAATGCCTTCATCTGTATTTTCCACGTGTGTAGTTATCCCTGCTAAGCGAGTCTATCAGGATACTTTTGCCACACTCATGTTTGATAACACTAGTCACACACTCCTATAGTATCTTCAGCACTTGCAATAATTTTCAATGTCCGTAGCACTGTCTCTGGGCCCGTAACCTGTTGAGGATAGGTAAGCAGAGCAATTCAACTCGCAGTGGTCTTCGGTTCAGAACAGTTTATTGAGTACATGTACATGGATGGTAGATAAGCGACAGGTGTAGATCGGGCTTCCGCGTTCCGCGATCCGCGCGCGTGTGCTGGCTGTTGTACTTCGACTGCTTCCCACGACTGACTCTTCACGACTGACTGCATTCCGAGGTGCGGCGCGCGGGGACAGGACGGCGGTTACAAGCTTCTAGGTTAGGCAACCTGTCTGGTCGTCTCGCCAGTAGCGGCGCGGCGGGGTGACGCTAGTACGCGTTCCAACAATAATAATAATAATAATAATAATAAAATAATAATAATAATAAAAATAATAATAATAAGAATAATAATATAATAATAATAATAATAATAATAAAATAATAATAATAATATATATATAATAATATAATCTAATAATAAT